GCTGCTTCTCGGCTGAATCAAACCCTCTGCTGCTTGGCTGTTGGCAAGCCTAGTTGTTGTTCTGCTTTCTGCCTTCCCATATGGTGGCTTGTTTAAAAATAAGACATTTACAAGGAGCAGAAATTGTAAAAGTAGGCTAACTAGAGGAGGATTTACAGTAAATGCTAGATGAGATAGTCTGCCTGGGTTGCAGTGAAGGTTTAACTTCAGGTTACTTACACACCTGTAGTGTTAAAAAAAAAAAAATTAATAAACTACACCTGGTCCCTGGCTGACCATGGCTTACTGTGGTAGAAGGCCAACTCTTGCAACTAGTCCTCACTGATGAGGTGAGCAAGAGCGGCCGCAGGCTGCCCAGCCTGCAGCACGGCAGGGCCTCCCTACGCTGCCCAGCTCATCCTTGCCGACCTGCCCCAGCACCTGCCTGCCAGGGAGGAGAGAGCAGATGGGTGCTGGACCAAGTGGGTGGCAGCAATAACTGCATGCTGGGCAGAAGAGGAGGAGAGCTTGAAAAAGTGAGGAAGGATGCAACACTGGCAGCTGCATGTCAGTGTCTTGCTGCTACTCTGAGTAATCATCTTTGGGAACTGCACTGCGAAAAGACAGGTCCTTCTGGCTCTTCTTCCTTTGCGCTGGGGCTATTCCACCCCACATACTCTCAGCAGCAAGCACAGCCAGTACAACCACCATTGATTCCTCAGTGGTGCTCATCCAGTGTCGCTGGCACCTGCAGTGCAATGTGATGGAAGATGGCAGATATCAGTGACAGTGGCCCCAGGAAAATGCATGATGCACAACATCTGGGTGCTGTGTCCTCGTGCCAACCTCCTGCTCTGCTGAGCCTTTGCAGGCTCAGAGTCTGGAGCTGTCAGGGCTTGTAGGCCTGCCGCTATTCCCACTTAGAGCCAAGCTGCTGCTGGTGCTGCTTCTCCACTGACGGTCACCTTGTTGCTCAGGTGATCCCATTTTTTTTCTAGCATGTGCAGCCCCTAACATTTGAAGGGCACCATTTAAAAAGGGTGTTGGGGGAAGGCAGGTGCCTGCTTGTGGCCAAGTGGTCCTGCTTCAAAGTACCTCAGTATCATGCCCATGCAACACTGGATATGGAAACAGCAGAAGGAAACAAGGTAAGTCATATTCTACTATGCTGGAAGTAAATTCTGATCACTTACTTAAGAAGGCCAGAAGTTACTTGTTAGTTTTCTCTATGAGCTGTTCAATTCCCCTGAAGCAGCTGTTCTTAGATTTGTAGAAACCTTGACTCACCAAAATCAATTCCATTAACTTTAAGAAACTTCCTGATAAAGACAGTTAATCAATTATCACTGTTTTCATCTACCACAGGGGTTCTACAGCTGTTTTTATTTTAAAACAATCCACCACTAAACCAGAATATGCAACTGGAATGAAGCATATTAAATGAAGATGAATGTTATATGTGTAGAACAATCAATCCATAATTTTACCAGGATGATGAGCTACCCTGGTGTCCCAACTACTGCTGAGCCTGTATGTACATCACAGAAAATGTACTCTCACAATGGCACTGGGGCTTGGAGTTACTCTGCAGCCGACACTGCCGAGGAGCGCATGCCATACACTTCATCAGTAGTAGGGAAGCATTGTTTGTAACTCTGTAATTAAGTTTTTTGCCTGAAAAATGCCTAATTTGCAGGGTGTTAGTTTTCTTGCTCTAGTTTTCAGCTTCAATAAATGTTTCTGATAATAATGCATTGTACACAGGGATTTCAATTGCTTTTCTTTATGCAAAATTAATTTTATTTTAAATTCTTCTGGCTCCTTTTTTCATTTGCAAGTGTGAAAAAATTGCATACGCTAAAGACTAAGAATTCAAAGCTAACGTTAATTTCAAAAATTACATATTACAAGAAATTAATGCATAATATGAACTAATCGATAGTGCAATTGGGAGCAGGGGGGAACCCCCTGCAGCAGTGGTTTCTCTTGTGTAAAAGGGATAATTATTCAGCTGGTTTTCTACCTAAAAACATGGTAAGGATTCAGAACACCTTTAACTGAACTTGTGTAATGCCCTTAATTGTGCCAATCAAGACAGGAGACTTTTTTTTTTTTTTAATCCTGGAAGTCTAGAATCTGTGACCTAAAAACCAAAAACACAAACATTCTTCTGAATCTTAAAGAACAGTTAATTAGCTGTTTTGAAGTCACTATGGCTTCCTTTTTGCTTTTATCCTAACTAACTGCTTTAGCTACTAAAAATGCTAGAGTGGATTGTCTGCAAGTGTTTTAGCAACTATCAAGACAAACATAATCCAGAGCAAGTTTAGCAACCACAGACTTGCTTCAAGTTGTAAGAATCTGGTTACCGCTGAAATCATTAAACAAGTTGGGCTGAAAAGCAGCCTGTCTATCCCTTTAGCTCCTAAAATTTTTGGCACTGCAGACAATTACAGTTTGAGTGCCAACTGTGTTATGAGTGCCAACTAGCACTCATAAGTGTAAGTAAGTGCACCCCAGCGTAAACCTTAGGTATTTCCCAGTTAATCCACTTTGTAGATGTCTTATTTACTGCCAGAAGCTACAGCCCAAAGTCAGGAGTTCAGGCCCTCCCCTAATGCTCAAGAAAGTTATTTATCTCAGAAAAGATGGCTTATTGAGCAAGGAGCTGGCAGTAGGAAGCAATCAAGTTTTGTCTTTAGAAGTAGTTAGGCATCTACATCAGCTTCCATGTCTTTATTACCAGCTTCAGTGCTGCAGAGCTGGGTGGGCTGGGTACTGCGCAAAGAGAAGACCCAACTGTCCTTTCCCATTATATGTGAAAATATACTGCTGAAAAGAACTCCTCTGGCAAGCACAGAAGTACCTTGAGTCTTGCAGGCTGTGGGGTGGGATTTTGAACACTCCAGTTTTGGACAGAAGTATTTAAAACTTGCTGAGGATTCAGCCAGATAAACTCCAGTCAGTCCAACCCCCTCATCCACCAATAGCATGCAGCTTTTTAACTAGGAGGTACCAAATGCACATTAATGCTGCTTAGTGTGGCCATCAAACGATGTTCTGCTGCGTTTGAGAAGCAGCAGGTCTGTTGGTTAACTTCTGTATTTATATAGTTATTTTCAGGTTTCCAGCGCAGGTACTTAGTTATCTAATAGACTGATGATGATGCAAGGATTTACTGACTGAGTATACAGTTAACTGGTAGTGAAAAACTTCACTAATGTAAAAGGAAAATCACCTGATTTTAAAAAGCTGAAGTACAATAAATTGCAAAGCAGGTCTTACACACTACATAGAGCAAATATGCAGAACTTATGATCTTAAGCAGCTGCTGACACATCCTTTTTACCTTCCTTTGCTGTAAAAGGAGAGCAGGGAGGCAAAGGGACACCGAGTGAATTCATATTTTCTTACTGTCCTACTGGATCACTATTAATGAGGTAATTAGTGAGGTAATGATATGAATTATTAGGTACTTTCAAAAAACTGGTCATGTTTTATCTTCAGATACTTGTTATGTACCAATTCAACAGCACATCATCATTCCAGTGTGACTAAAAGGTCTTTTTTGTCAAAATCATTTTATTAAAGAGTTAATGTCGCAACAAGCTCAAAATAACACATGCTTCAGAAATAAGTTGGATGAAAAATACTCTGAACAGAAATATGAATATTTTGAAAGCATGGTAAAGCATCAGTTGCAAGCAACTTCTGCAAACAGGTGCAAATTCTGTTGGTGCAATGGAGAAAAAGCTCAGAAAAGAAGTGTGCTGGGCATAACTTCTCTTTATGTAGTGCAGTTCGTCTAGTAAGTTAAATCAGAAAGGGCACAATTTCCACGGCTGCACAGACCCAAATGTATTTCTTCAATAACTAGCCCCAGCACAGATTTTTCACTGTGAGCACTAACAGAACAAATTTAGCTGACATCTTAACATAGCAGTAATATATATAGTATATACATAATAGATGTTTGACTCGTGCAGCCTCCTCAGTTACATGTTTTTTTTTTTTTATTTACTCAAGAAATGTTATAAAAAAATAGGTTTGGAATTTGTATTTCACTCCAGTGTTAGTTCCGCATCACCTCAGGCAAAGACAGTGTTTCAGCAAATAATCTAATTTGTCAAGAAATCTGCCCTAATCCTTAACCTTATTTTTGTAAATCCACGTAGAAAATAAATGCGAACTCTTTATACAAAACAAGAGCAAATAACTGTACCTATATAAAAGGGGATTCATTCCCTTTAGTTTTATTATCATGGCACATACTTCATAGTTTCACAACAGCATACTAGTTTTTATTTAGTTTTTTTAAACCCCAAAACAGTGTTGATGAATGGAAGAATGTGAGTTACCATAGGCAGCTGACTCATGCATTAAGCAATTCATGTTCTTTATCAGTTTTCCCAACAGCATCAGGATTGGATAATGGGTCAAGGTCAGCAAAGAGACTGAACCAGGCAGTTAAGTCTTTAGGATTCTTTGCAGGTTCTGGAAAACAAACAAACAAACAAAAATACAGACTTGTCAGCTATTTTGAAACAAAAACTGACTGAAATGCCATGCTATTGTTTAATTTATTACTAAGGGCACTTCTGACAAAAAAATGAGAATGAGTGATGGCATTTTAAAACACTACTTTTAAAGAATATGGAACTTTAGTAAGAATGAATGTTTTACATCTGTTTACCTGTGTATTTTATATGGTTACTGCTATGATAAGTACAGGAACACTTCAATTAAAAATAGAAACAATCTCACTCTGTCTAGCTTTGTTTCATGAAAGGTATTTTATTTGTGTGTGCACCTGCATGCCTGCAAAAAAGTGAAAGGACAGTGAAGCCAAATTTTACTTTCAGCCTCTCTTACAGGACTAAATTCCTTTGCCTAAATCCAGTTCCTGTGACTGTTCTGTCCCCCCTGTATATGACCACACAAGATCATTACTCATACGGAATTAAGTTTTAATGGGAAGGTATTGGCTAGAAGGAGAGGGGGTATGAGGTTTGATAGCCAGTCCCAAGTACAGCTTCTAGTATTATGGTGTATTTTTTAATTGATATAAAAAAAATGTGAACCAGGAATATGTTCCAACAGCAGCTGGACTATTGCATCTATCTGTTTATATTGACATACAGATTTCACAGAGGTCTCCTACCTTCTCTTATTCAAACAGGGCAGATGTTCAGGTTAAAGTGGTCACAACTTTGGGTGCTATAAAGAAGGTACACCACCACTTGTTTTTTGTGACCCTATGCTTAACACGTATTATACTGATAGTGAAATAAGATGTGCTCTTCTACTCAGAGAGATAATGTCGCATGAGAGCATTCCTTGTGACACAAGGAATTTAGGGACAAAATAGGCTCCGCCTGGCATGACTTTCATCTTGATGTCTGCAAGGCTGGAGTATCTGCCACTTTCATAAACACAGATTTCAAAGTAGCTGAAGGCTGTTCCTTTTTCTAGTGAAGGTACTGTGGCTGTGATATCACGCTTATTTCCAAAACAGTTTCCAAACGCCTTAACCCTCTTTTTTTCTGCTGAGCTTAAAAATGTCAGTCTTTTAATCCCAGGAGGCAGGGGAAGGAATACATGTTGCTTCTTTCTTCTGCACTGAACATCTTTGACGTAGCTTCTGATCAAATGTGAATGCACAGAATAGGCTACAAACTGGCAATAAGAATTCACATATTTCTGGTTCACTTATCCAGAAAACCCTAGTCAAAATCAGCAGGGCTTTGTCTCAATGGATGGCAGGACTCTGCACTTTTGGCTCGGTTGCAAGAAGTGAATTAAGTTTCAAACAGATGATTACTGATATGACGTATGTTATCAACAAAATTTGCAATTAGGGTTCTTCTGCCTTATCAGTAGCCTGTATTTTAGCCACAATGTCCTCCTAGAGCTTCAAAACAGTTTAGCTTAGAAAAAGTGCATGCAGATGCTATTCTGTGTGACTCAAAATTAAAGTAGTAAAAGAAACTGTAGTTTCAGCTCCCTCATTATATAGTAAATTACTCTTTTGACATACTACTAGCATGGAAACCTATCAAAAAAATAGACACACACACATATCATAATCAATGCTGAAACAGAGTAACTCATTAGCGAGCACAAGATTTCTTGACATGTAACTACTACAAAAATAGGTTTTATTATGATAGAGTAACTGAAAAGACTGGAAAGATACAAGACTCACAGCTAAAGAGGAAAAGCAAAGTAACTGAAAAAATACATCATTGTATCACCTTTCACAGGCGTCTTGTTAGCATTCACATTCAGGCTGTTTGGTTTCTGTGCTGGCTGTGGTATAGACGGTGGGCTCACACTGTTAGCTGCCCATCCTAAAATTCAATAATACAACAGCATTAGCATGAAGAATTACTTTGTTAATTCCAGCACCCCATTGTCTGGCAGCAGAATGCATACATCAAGACAATAGGGCAAAATATTATGTTTATGGTTATGGCTGTTGTTATCTTCCCTTGTACACAAGAAATCAGCAGTCAGATGCCAGACAGGCAACATCTTTAAGAAGAGAGAATCTGTGGATCAGTTTCATCACCTCCAGAGTCAGGCAACCGTACTCTTTTCAAACCTTTAACCTGGCTAAAAAGGATTTTTTTTCTTGTTTCTTTTACCCAATCACAGTTAATACTTGTTCACAGAAAGGCCAGTACAGTAATCAAGTCAAGCACAGCTGTAGGGAGAAGAATATCACTTACATTTGGGTGAAAATATCACACATACTAAACATTTATTCCACCTTCCTTTACTTTTACAGTTCCAAAGACTTTCATTTCATCAACTATTCCAGAAAAAACATACTTAGAGACCCTAGATTTTTTAGCTAATTTTGAAATGACTAATTCAGTAAAAAAAAATTCTTGCAAAACACCTTGAAGAATTAAATTCAAGATGTACTACTTCAAGTTAACTTAAAACTAGGTTTTAATCGAGTATTTTTTTGTTCCTAATTTGAAAGGATCTTCTCAGCAGGGAGAGAGTAACTACGCAGGGAAAAATGAAACTGAGTATTCACAATTTTTTGTTCTTACATACATATTCCATAGCCACAAAAAAGTAATGATAAATACAGTTAATGAGGCCAGATGAGCTAGGCTAGCAAAATGAACTAGGGGTGGTGTACCACAAAAACATATTAGGAAAAAACGCAGTATTTTTGTCCCTGGCTTAAGATATTTAAATTCTTATGCTTTATTACATTTAGAGGACTGGTCGTCGTATTTCTCATTTCAATAATATCTCCTTTAAGTGTGGTCTGATCAATTATCCATCCATCTCAGGAATCTAGCATATCTAATTCTGCAGTATCACAAACAGGATACTCATCTGCACGCACAGTTAGCATTTCCTTATTCAGTCTCTTTTTTCTACAAGTTCATGCTCTTACATCCTTTCCTACTCTCTTTGTCCTTCCTCCCCTTACTTTCTCAAACCAAAAACTTCTGCAAAATCTAGATGCAGAGTGCTCACATTTGCTCTAGACAATGGTGATAAAGGCTCATGAGCTAGCCTGTGCTCCCTGAAAATGAGATTTTAGTTTAATCTTTCAAATAAGCAAACTTGAATCATAAATAATGAAAAGTATGGCATTAACACATCAGAGTGACATACTTTTCCAGGCATTTTCTCTGCTTGTGTTACAAAAGAGGAGAATGGCAGAGGACACTACGCACAACTACAGAAAACTGTAATCCTTTCGTTTGTTTGGAGATGTATTATGAGGAAGTGTTTTAATACATCAATGGATGGCAACAGATAAATTGAGTGGCTTAAGCGAATAGGGCCAAATCCTAATTTCATAGAAATGAATGGGAGTACTGCCTGGAAACGTTCTGTGCAAGTACCAGTGACTTCAGTGAGATCAGGAGTTGGCTCCCCAAGACCTCACTGATGTTCGTTTACACTGATGTGACTGGCAGACCACAGAGTGAAACACCGCTGACCAGTTAACTCCTTTGGAGCCCTCCTTTTGAGTCCCTGGACTAAGGCTTGGTAAGTAGCACACCCGTGAGAGATCCTGTGGTCTGGTTCTCTCTTCATTGAAATGCAGGTAGCTCAAGTACCACTCAGGAAACAAAAAGAACCTAGCAACAGTAACAAAAACATCCAACCAAAAATGCTTCAGAATATCGGATGCTTTTGTAATGAATTTAGCCATGTATGAAGATATTTGGAATGACTGACACAGAATTTTTAATAAATACTTTCATAAATTATGTTTTTAGTGTCCACTCACAGCAAGCTACAGAGAACAACTTTGCCTTTCAAAAACAAACTGCAGCCTATCAATTTGAAAGCAGTTGTGGGCCCTAAGCCTGTTCTGGTTTGCCTGTTCACAGGATGGCTTTGTTATGCGACTAGACAAAAGATTATTGCCGAGACAGCAAGGAAACCAAACAGCTTACTTTTTCAGCTAGCATCTTCACAAATGTTACCACAATTAAATTTATAAATGGAAATGGTGAGCTGCACATTTTCTTACCAACTAGAATATATGCATGTTGAGAAGAAAAAGAGGAGCCCTTAGTGGTATGAATAACTAAGTAAAGTAGGCCATAAGCATCATCAAAAAGAAAGCCAGTGCACTCTCTGAAAAAGTGGAAAGACAACCAAACTACAAAGCTGTATCTGGAAGAGAATCTAAAAGATTTGTTGGGAGCATGCTTTGTTTCTTATATATATATATATGTACACATTTATATGTATCTTAAACCAGTACCTGGTAGTCCCATAGCAATTCAAAGTCCCATTGTGCATGATCCTGCCTATAAATACAGCCAGAGAAAACTCCAAGCTGGGAATTCCTGACCGTAACAGTTTATAACCTGCACAGCATTGTGCCTGTTTTACAGATTAAGATCTAAGGCAGAGAGAAAACAAAGCCCCAAAGATTTATGAGTGTGCTTAACGTAAAATAAGTAAGTAATCCCACTGAAGTTAATAGAAAAGTTAATGTGCTTAAAGTTAAGCATGTGAGTTTTAAGAATCTTTATGGTCTTAAGGCCAAATTCACACAGGAAGTATGCAACATCGAGGCCCCAGTGTAGCACCTGACACTGAATAATTATTAAGCAATTCTACCAATTAGGGAAAAAAAGAAATATAGGAGACGTATCACAAGTCCTCAGTAAAAATATCCGTAATTCATATATTCTAACATTTCCAACTTGTATGTTTAGATATGTTTATACTGCAGTTAGAATTTTGTTTTAAAAAAAAAGTCTCTGTTCCTAAATTTATTGATAAGGTCAAATTATGAAAGAAGTGCTGTGAAGTGAAATGAAATGCAATTTAAGATTAAAGATGAGACTTTAAGATATAAAATGGACAGAATTTCACCTTCTGTTAAAAAATAAGAAAGAAAAAACTTAAAAAGAAAAATAGTCTATGAAAGTTAGTTTAAATAATGCATTTTACTTGGCAACTAGAGTCAGCTGGGAACATGCTGATTATCAGATACAATCATTCATCTGATTAGCCCTAACTTTTCAAATGCCAGTAGATCAGTTACCATGATCTTCTGCCAAAATCTTGGAAATCCATTTGAAAACATCAACATATTTTATTCTTCCAATACAGATTTATTCTTTTTCTTATTCAAAAAGATTTTGGGATATCATGTTGACTGGAATGGATTTTCCATTTCTAGTGTTCCAGAACAGTGTTCTGATTTTGAAGTGCTAACAGTGCAGCCAATGCCAGTGTCACGTGCAAATGAAAGCCATAACAACAGCTTCAGAAAGGACACCCAGCCCTGTTTGCCATTTACATCTCAAAAATATTTATCCTTCAAAAACATGTTTACATTTACAAACATGTAAAAACTCTGAAAGAAAATAAATCCCATAATATTTGTTGCTATTTTCAGTAACTTGCTTAAAATCTGTTTATGTCTCCCTATCAAGAAAGGTGTTTTTCATTGTTCCTTTTTCCCCTTTTAATAGATACCATGTCCGCTTCTGGTCACAAACTGTTTAATTTGACAATGCAATGACTAAACCTCATGATTTTTTTAGCTCATATTTTATGAGGTCAAATCCTACACTCTTCCAGTCCCTGTTCCCTCTAACAATCATATTCATATATGCATGTACCTCATCATAAAAATACATCTAAAACTGAGCATCACTGCAAATGTCACTCGCCCAGTTTCCATCTAAGCGTTGAAGTCAGTGATCCCAAATATCTTGCTTTAGGCGTGGTGGTGGTAACTGTATTAATTATAAGGTAAATTTAACTTTCTTATTCTTGTCAAAATGTCCAAGGTCATTATACATGGTGTATGATTGTACCAGTTACATGGGTTCCAAGAAGTAGTCTTCAGGCTGGAATCAGTCTGCTAGTCTTTCCAACATCGCTCTTCCCCAAATGAGATTTAAATGACCCTGGACTGAGCCCAAAAAAGCAAGGTCCTCCTCCAGCTTGCAAAGCCCCAGGAGAAATCCTGCCGGACTGTGGGGAGGACAAAGGTAGTTGCTGTTGGCTGGTTATCACCAGCCTGCCTTCCTCCCTCCCTTCCTCAAGGCCAAAGCAGCAGCAGGAAAGCTCTGCCCTAGTTCCCCTCTTTCCTTTCCTCTCCCCTGAGCAGCAGCTTGGAATACCCAAAAAAATGAACTGCATAGAAGAAAGGGGAGAGAAAGAGTTGCATCAGTTGATAACCAGCCTACAAGAGGAATCCACCTGTGTCATTGCTAGGATGAGAGAACCCATTCTATCTTACCCATATCCCTACACACAACATGAGATGCTTTGAAAAAAACAGAAAATGAATGAATGCAATTGATTTTCACCACGTTGTTTAAAAATAGCATTCCCAGACAAAATACAGTAGTAATTTTTGGTTCTTTGGCCCCTTAACAGAGACAGCAGTTGTGATTTAAACAGTAAAACCCACTCAAACAGATTTTCTGTTACAGAAAAAAAATATCTCAAAGGCCTACAGAACATTTCAGGAAGCTCAATGAAAACATTCAAGACAGTAATTTTGACTTTAGGTTTTAGGGTACTCCATTCACAAACACTGAATGAGCAGGGCTAGAAAAACAAATATGCTACTCACATGTTTTTCTCCAGGCCACACTCTGCTTTAACTTCAGGGTTTCTGCAGCTATGGCACAGCATAAGCTGTCACCAGAATTCTACATAGCAGAAAACATACTATTAAACCTAAACCCAAAATGCTAACAGAACAAGATGAGCCCTCACCATGTAAAGACGACTGCAAGTCATTCATGTTTTGGTCTAACAGCTGTGAGGGCAAGTAGCCTGATGGTGTCGGTGCCACAGACGATGAAGTGTTCTCCACATCTCCAGCTGAAGAGTTCATGGTGAGATCAGCAAGTGCAACCTGTCCAAAAACAGCTGTCCACTCTTTGCTGAATTCCCCCTCATCCAGGGAGGAAGCGTTGAGGATCTCATTCAGTAATACTAGGTCATCCTTATCACCAGGTTCTGACTCCAAAGACCTCACAAACTGATCCTTTGAAGCTGTCTCAGAACAAGAGAGTCAAGAGAAATATTTTTTTTAGAAAACGAAGAAAAGAAGGAGTTTTTTAAAAACATCCAATCTAGGTTTTGTATTTTAAGTGAGATGGAATACTTTTGTATGAATATTTGTTGTTTTACCTTTCAGACACAATTCTCTTGGACATCTGGGCTTGTAGCATATGCAACAAATAATACCTTGATTATCTTAGCTAACCTCACTGATGTTCAGACTCACTGCTCATTAAAAACAATAGTACAAGTATGCTTAAAAAATCTATTAAACACCACACCAAAATCATTACATATTCTAATATTTAAAACATTAGAGAAGACTACTTTTATGTTGCTTTTTGAAGCATTATATAAAACTGTCAAAAAAAAATCAGATTGGTATATATTGAAACTAATAAGTGTTGGGGATTATTCTAGAATTTTGTGAGAACATGCTTAAGATGACCTTTATGACCTTCTGACTAATGCTTGAATTATTGGGCTATTTCCCTATGAGAACAGGTTACTCTGCAGAGTGAGATTTCTACACTGTTCAATGCTGTAGTAACTTTCTTTTTCCTCTCTTAGGCTGCTGAAAAATAACTGGGGCCACTTTCCTTCTGATTCCCCTTGCTAGTTTCTCTAGCACCAGAACTGCAGCTGAAGAAGCTCTTGGATCACTTGAACCATTACTCCTCAAAACCATTTTTTTCCTATTTTAGAAATGTTAAATAGTTATATAAAATACATGAAACTTGTAACCAGGATCGTAATCCTTTTCTCTAGCTTACAAAGTATTTGGAAAGTGAAAGAACTATCAAGGAACCCCAACTGTTATTTTACTTGGAAACATTTAGAGCTTCACTGTGGGAGTATGCAGAGAACAAAAATGGTGGTTAACACCACCGATAATGTTACTTTACTGAAACCCAGATCAGTTTATCTTAATTACGCTTGTTTCAAACTTGTGGTCAGGCACAGAAGCAACTTCAGTTTTCCAACATTTGGGTAGATCAGCTGAGCTTTCCAAGTTGCATACAACTTGCAAAGATGTTTTTAACCCTTTGGGGTTGGAATAAAGATTGATAGTGGCAAAGTTGTTGCAACAGGCCATTTTATTTAAATGCAACAGCCTTCTCAGGAAAGTTCCCTTTTAATAGCTGTAATAATCTATAATGAAATGGCTGAAGTTGAGTCAGAGGAGAAAAATGTGCAAAACTGTGTTTTAAAATAGGCTGATGAGTCAGCATACACACCTACATACAAAGTAACAAATAAACCAACAGATAATATAAGGATTTTATTCATTACTGAAGTTAGCTCTGAGATTCAGCTCCTTTCTAATTCACATTTTTATATACCTCTGTACTGCCTGACAGGGCCCAAAAATTAGAAATAGAAACATTACAAACACATCAATTCTCCTGATGTTCCCACTAGACTATAACTAAAATACCATAGAAAACCATTTGTTCTCATAAATTTTCAGGCTGCTTTCCCATCTTCAGATAAATGGCAAAGACTCTTAACATTGTCCAAGGACCTACAATTCCCCCCAAGCTATTCAGCAGGTGAGGCAGAGGAGTAAATCCTTCCATAGGGGAAAGACACCTGCTATTTCAAAGGCACTTAAGAACTCTGATCTCTACGGGGCATGACCATCGCAAAGCTGCTTTCAGGAGGCCACTTCACGAACTTGGAAGGCTTGCAGGGGTAGATGCAAAGGGAGCATCATTAGTAACAGATCTGCTAAGACAGACCGCCAACACTGTACCTAACCACAAACGACCTATATTGCAACAAAAGCTTTGCAGCCACACAGCTCAGAGCAAAGCTCTGCTTCATCTGGGTATCCCATTGCAGTAGTCCCATTTTTACTGTGGGAGAAAGTACAAAATATAGCTTTACATCTGAAGAGCAGTTAGGTCTTGCTGTAGTATAGACCACCAGAAATCAGAGGTGTGACACATTTCTTGTCTCAGCAGTCTTTCTGATCTTCCTGTGGGAACAACGCACCCAGGGCAGGGGAGGATAGGGTGGTGCTTATGCTCAGGCTGCCTTGGGTAAGCAGCAGTAAGTCTACTCTTGTTTGCAATAAAGGTTATCTTGAAGCCAGTCTTGCTTATTGAGATATTACTCATGCGGTATCTCTGCTAGATTACTAAAATGATATGGACTTTCTCACCTCACCCATAAATCTTCTATTACTTCTTTTCCTGTTTCTCTGTTTTCACTGCCCATTTTCACAGTCAAAATCCTGTATTTTGTCTGCATATGCTGCCCCATATCTTGCAAATCTCCATGAAAAAAACCCCAAAACTCCCAACAAAACACTGAAAAAACTATGTCACTTTTTTTTTTTTGTAATTGTTTGAACAAGCCTCTAGCAATGCTCATATTTCTTTGCAAAATGCCTCATTTTGCTGTTATTTAAAAACATACACAGGAAAAGAAACTAAAAATATTTACAACAATGCATGATCAGAAACACAGGATAAGGACTTCCTTCTGAAACACAATGAAAGTGTACCCCTAACTATACTGCTTCACTTAAAATAATACAATATTAATTAGCCTAAAGCTAGCTAATATGTAAAATTAGGGTAAATGGCTGATACTGTAACATTAACATAAGCACCCTTATCTGAGGTAGCTGTCCCACAACGGTTTTCGTATTGATTTAACTATTTGACTAAAGAAAAAAAAAATAGCCTTCTAACTGACATAGCTAAACTTGTATGACCGATAATTGTATGCATTATCTGTACCTCCACTAAGAAGGTCCAACAAGGAATGTAACTGAGTAAGGGGAAAACCAGAAGAAAAAAGGCCACTATCAGACATGCACTGACCTTTTTTATTAACCACAGAAAAGAAGTCAACACTACCTTATCTATCCACAGATTAGGGCTGCTTCTGCACAGACATCTGAGAAACTTTCCCTGTTTCTGCCTTCATAGGTGATTCCCCACACTGGTAATTTCCCCAGAAAGAGACTGCCCATGGCAAATCCAAAGTCAAGGTGTTTGCAAATGCTCTCTTCCTTACCCATCATGAAGGCAGTGCCTTAAATACCCCAAATTACACTCTTGGTCTGACTGATGAAACCACACAAAGGGATTTTTTTCTTTGCTTCTTTACTTGCTTTTTGAGTTGCCACAGTTGTTTTTGTTGCTGTTGAAGTTTTTTTTACTCATTCTTCTGAGATACATGAGTGAAAAGCAAATGAGAAATGATAGGCAGTACTCTTACTGCATATGAAAATTCAATATAAAACTTTTAGCCAGATCTTTCATATGTTTTAGCCATATCTTTCATACATGGTAAAACAGTATCCTTTGGAAAAAACCAGCACATCTCGCTGCCATGGATCTAATAAAAGCATAAAGATAGTAGTAGAGCCTGGAATGAAAGATTGCTCTCTCATGTGTGTATGAGAACAGCATAGCAGATTTAATTAACTATCTGGCTGAAAGAAGTCACCACTTCTTATATGGTTTTAAGAGGACTAAATAATTTTTTTCTGATACGTACATTTCTGATACAAAATCTTGTGGTTACTAGTGTATTGCCAAGGGTTGTGATACAACAACTAAAGAACCAAAAAGAAAAGTTTGTGAAATGTTACAGGAGGGGTAAGGTTTACAGTGGGGCAAATACAATATAGTCCAGTATACCTAACCTTGAATCACCTGTTACAATGTGTTTTATCCCCATGAAGTTGAGTTTCCTTTAACACCGTTTCAATATTGCAGCTGAATAATTTAATTCAACTTTTCAGATTATGAAAACAATTAAGATCTAAGATTAAAATTACAGTTGGTGCCTGTAATTGAAAAGCAGATGAAACAGACATGCAAAAATGCTTCATACCATTTTCTTCAGGTTGCAGGTCTAATAAGTCATCTATGGCACCTAAAAGCCAAAATAAAAGAAAAAAAAAGCAACAAAGGAAGATCTGCAGTACACTGACAATCAATATATATACATCTAAAGGTAGTTTTCTTAAGTCTCTCCACCTGAGTTCTGCTTGTGGTTACAATTTCCTTGTAATGTGGATATGACATCCTTGCCATTGTCAGCTTTAATCAAGATCCATTAACATGTCAAATTGCACTTGGCACAAGACCATGCTTATAAATAACATCACTATAAGATCAACATGCAACAGTTGGTATTCATGTTTAAAATGAACCTGGTCACAATGGATGAAAGATCCAAGATACAAGCATTTCTAAGAAGTGAGGCAAATTTCTGAATAATAACCTGGGGGGCGGGGCGGGGGGGGATATCTTCCTTTGAATCACTGCCTGCCACCCTAGCCCACCTCCATGCTGAGTACGCCCAACTGAGGCAACTGCAAGAATCAGACAGGTCTCTGCTGTCCTCCAGAAGCAGAGACACTTCTTTTAGAAGCTTGTATTTACACAGGCCAGAGAGCACAAAAGTGCCAGAACCTCATCACTCCCTAAACTGCCTTCCTTGACAAAATGTTCTTCCTCATGACATCAACTGTGGGAACGGGGAAAAGGAATCTTTCCCCAAAGCACCCTAGGTCAGGATATAAGTAACAGCACCTCTTCTCCTGCAGGAAAATTAATGGGCTAAGACCAATAGCACAGAAAATGTATACCTGAGGGTTATAGGCTATCAGAGGCGAAAAAACACCACTGTGCCGCAACTGTAACTACTTTAAGTTCTGAGCAAGTTTCTTAGATTAGACAAACGATTCTATGATTCTATGGAGTCAAAACAATCATCTAGATTCCGTCTATCAGTGAAGAGAAAGACACCTCCCTCAGGTGATTAATCTCATTTAAGATATGCAGCAAAACAGGAGGGATGAGTAAAAAAAATTTCCCTCCCAATTAACTGCTGAGGAAATCTAGCTTCTAGATAACTAAATCTGTAGCTCTAAAGGCAAATGATGGGGTTGGTCACAGTACTGCCAGAACTGGAAGGCAGATCTGCTGGAAGCCTCAAATTTGAGGCTGGAAAGCAGAAATAAAATTCTCTACAGGGGAATAAAAATTGAACGCCAAACCCTTTCCAAGAGAAACTTCAAGGTGTGCTCAGAACTAAATGAAACAGAACAGTCTGCTGTTTGATTTCTATTATTTTAACTAGGCTTTGCTAGGACAATGACAGAAATGAGCTACCAGCACTAGAATCAGCTGGTCATTTAAGGACCTGTGATCACATCTGATTATACTCTATAGAGATACAGGTAGGAGAGGCATAAACACACATCGATAAATATACACGATGCTTCCATAAAAGGACAATGCACAAAGCTAAAGGGGAAAAACCCAATCCTAAACTGACTGGCAGAGGTGGGGGGGAGGGGAAATCAGAAAGAGAAGTTCATGAAAGGTGGGATGTGGATGGCCACAATTCTGTAATGAAAAAAGTACAACTGTTGCTGAAAGCCTGCCTTAGTTCAGTGGTAAACATGATGGAGCCAATCTTAAAAACATCCATCGTATATTAAAGGAAAATGCAGAACAAATGATAAAAAACAGGAAGTTATGAAGTAGTTGATGAGGAAAACTAAGAAGAAACACAGCTCCATCACTACTAGCACTACATCTGTATTACTTTAGTACGTACAGAGTACTTGAAAAAAAAAATCTTAGCAATGGCACAGACTCACTAGTGTGCGGAGATGGAAAAATTTAGCAGTGTAGGCAGAAGTATTCCAAAATACTTCAGTTCCTTTTAGGGGCAATGGAGAAAGAGACAGAACAAGGTATTTGTATTATGGACGATGGTGAAATATTTTACAGCCCATAAGTAACTGAGATTCTAGAAAACATCTGCTAAGAAAATATAAGTCAAATTTTGTAGCCAAGAATATTAAAACATCTCATCAAAGGGATATCTGATCTAATTAATTGCAAAATGGGTGAAACTTCAAAACACTGGAAAAGTTTTAATATTGTGTCATTATTACAAAAAACACCCAAACAACAACAATAATTAACAGGGCGACTCAAGTAATTGAAGGTAACTATAGGCTGGTAGCTCACTATTACTCCTAGGCAAGACATTAACTGAATCCCATTCAGTATGGGATTCAGCAAAAGAATACGAGCATAATAAATGATCCTATAATAAAAGGTGTTTTTATGGAAAGCAGACCTAGTGAAAAAAACCCAACTAATTTCATTCTTTGATAAAACTATGAGCTTTCTTTGGTAAAGATATTTGTTTAACAACTTTACTTTGCACTGCATAGCCTTCCAGCTAAAAAGTTAGCACTGTGTAATATCTATAATGAACATATTGAATGGATTAGGAACATGACAACTAACAGATGTCAAAAACCAGTTGTTAGGAGAAATAATTGCAAAGTAGAAGTGTTTCTAGTTTAGATCTGCAGGGTTTAGTGTTATATCCATTGCTATTCAATGGCTTTAGCAGTCATCTGGAAGTAAACACAAAATCACTCTTGAAAAAAATGTGCAAACAACTAACAGACTATTAGAGGCAGTCATTCAGGCCAGTTACTCAGTTTCTGTAGTCAGAGCTGGGAGAATTTAATACCACTAAGTCATAAGTTGTATCTCTAGGAATAAGAAATATAAGCCATGCTGCAGAAAGGAAGAATGAGTCCTGGAAAGCTGTGACCAAAAGGAATTGAGTCTTGATAAACAACAAATTCAAATACGAGCTTCTAACTTGATGTTGCAGCAAAATGAGATATCCTTCTTGGATATAGAAAGGAATGTAATTTTACCTTCTAGAAACATGACAGCAGAGACCAACATTAGCATGTCTTGTCCAGTTATATATTTCAAGTTTTAAATGGGATGTTGTAAAGTGGAATGGAAACGAAAACTTCAAAAATAAAGGAGCAGAGAAGATGTCTTCAAGACATCAATATGATTAGTCTATCAAAATGAAGATTTGAGAGGAGTCTTGATTTTAACGTAGTACCTTTTAAGTATCTTCATGGAGGATAAAATACCACATATTAAAATTATTCTCCATTAATTTAGTAGAAAAAGATCTATGGCATGGCATTATTTAAGCTGGAAGGACCTCTGGGGATCATTTTGTCCAAGCCCCTTGTCAGAGTAGTCAGCTATGAAGTTAGATCAAGTTCCATAGGGATGTGCCCTGTCCAATCTTGAAGATCTTCAGAGATGAAGATTCCACAGCCCCTCCAGGCACTTTTTCCAGCACTTCACCATTTTTTCCTGTTATGTAATCAGAATTTCCCTTCCTGTCACTTGTGTTCATTGCCTCCCATTCTTTCACCGTGCACTTCCAATTAGAGCCTGGCTGCGTCACTGGGTAATAACAACCCATCAGGTCATTGGCAGCGCCTGAATATGACTTTGCCTAGCTTTTGGGCAGAAGTTCCACTGAATTAATCAAGGATTTAACAGAGTACATGTTTAATCACTGGAACAAACCAGCAAGCTAAGTGGCACACTTTCCTTGTCTCGACACCTACTAACCTGTAGATTTTTTTCTTGAAGATATGCCCAATGTAAGAATTATGCTTTGGAAGACAAGCTATTTTACTTATCTGAGAGTAACTGAATGAAAGACAGCGGGATATAACATGTAAGAGATTAGTTTTAACAGATCTTCCTGGCCTTAAGTTTTATGCATTTGTAGGGATTTGCTAGGTGAAGCTGAACATATAGGAAATAAACAAAAATCAAAAAAACATGTATTACAGCACTTACAAAGTTATGAGAACATGAAATAAAATACCTGAATAGTTTGATTCCTTGGTATGGCTCTCCTCATCTAATGAAATCAACCTTTATTTGAAAGAATAAGAAAAAATTTGAAAAAATAATTCTAAGGCTATAGAATAGTAATACATTTTTCTCTTTTTGGTCACATCATTACAGAATCATATCAATAACAAATAAACAGTAATTCAGATGGACTCTTGCATTTGCTCTATATTCTGGTCTGTTAACTTTTATTGTTTTATTAGTAGAAATCTGCTGAAAACCAAAATTAGGCTGAAAACCAACTATCAAAACCTACCACCCTTCCATTTTTAATCTAACTAAATCTCTGTAATGAAAAGTACAGTGTATTCTGCTTTTCCAGATTTGGTCTTTCATAACTATCATGAAGGAGGTACAACTGTTCCAACCACCCCCCCCCCTCAAATCTAAATAAAAACAAAACCCCAAAAAACCCAACCACTTTGCACTTATCTTTTTAACAGTAACTAATTAAAAATCAACAGTCAGGTGAGTTTTGTCTCATGTCAGCAGATTTCTAAAAAAACAGATCAGCAGCGCTGAGAAAAAGCTCTTGACAGAAAAAAAAAAAGCTGTGGCTTATATGCAAGTCTCATACAAAGGTAATCTCTTGAATGAAGAATATATACTTTCTAACTGCTATTATTTGGGTAAAGCCATTCAACCAGTAGGTAATGAAGCAGTCACAAGGCTGATGTGGTGGTGAAGAGGACTGTGTAGGCACATTCCTCCTGTCCTCTAGTGACAGGACAGGACCAGCCACCTCCCCTGCTCTTGAGGACAGGCCAGTGGCGGAGCAAATGAAAATTAGATTCAGGCCAAATTCTAGTATACTGAATGTTTACTGTGAATAGAAAGTTCATGAGGATTTTAAAAGCTTTGTTTTGTGTAATTTTTCTAGAATCTTAGATGTTTGTTTATGGTTTGTTTTAGACAGCAAAATGGTGACATTTTTTCCCCTCTGTTTTGACAGGCAAGGAAGAAGATAATCCATACATAAAACCAAGTACAACTATGACATGGCATCTGATGCATTTGCTGGCAGATGCCAATGCACACATCTTGCATAAATCATGCATTCATTGTAGAACTTCATATTCCACACTGAGGAAAACAATTGATTATGAAATTCTTTATTATTGTCACATGAGATGCAGCAGGTTCAAGGAAGTGCTGTGGAGACAACCACCTGCCAAATGGTACTTGGCCGAGTCCTTTCTAGTCTGAATAGCACCAAATTTGACCAATTTATAAACTGTTTTTGGTCAGTGGTTCTGAATCTAAACAAGTAAAAAGATTGGAAAACTGAACTGAACCATTACAAATAGCCGAGCAAAATCCACTAATCAGTCAAGCTGTTCTCTGCTTTTTGACAACTGATCCTTTGCTAGGTGCTTCATTTAACCAGGAATAGTCAAAACAACAGGTGGTAGCAGGATTATATCAACGTCACATCTCCTCGCAACTGAATCCTGATGGTCCCGTAGGGGAGGGATCGCATCTCGTTCTCCTGTTCTCCTCTCCCCATAGCAGGCGACTCATAAGCGTCTCTCACCTGAGAGCTACAGGTAACTCAAACCTTGATAGCATCAGTTCGCTTAGATGTACTTTACACTAAGTACCTACTGCTTCATTGGATTACTAACTGACGCTGCATACATTACAAAAACTAATTGCTGCTCAAAGCAATCAGGAATCCATATCCTATTCCCAGGTGAAAGGAGATGCTGCTGAAGGGAGAAATATAATGCTCATGTATCTTCTCCCATGTGTAGTTGTTTACCATTTCTTTTACTAAAGAAAAAAAATGAAGCAAAAGCTGAAAAAATAAAGAGAAGGCTAGGAAAGATGAAAAACACAGAAAGATTTAATAGGTCTTTTTAAAGCTCTTAATTTCACCATAAAGTGTATTAGTTTTCATGTACACATTACAACATTTCAGGAATTCTTGTATTAAGCTTACTACTAGCTAGTGTGATCAGACTAGCTGTGTCTATATTTCCATTTATAAATGTCTGGAGACTTTAGCAACAAGAAAGCAGATTATAGACAAAAACACTTATTATTTTAATATATAGGCCATGTGACTTACTGACTCTGCTGATCTTGTACTGATCTTGTCCTCTCAATCTGCAGGTCTTCCTTTTCTGCTTTTTCTGTTAGTTTATTCACAGGATCTTGTAAGCTCTAGATCATAACCATAATATAAAAGAAGAAAATAAAACAAAATAGAATCAGGGAAGCAAAAGTGTGTCATTTAAGGCCAGACTATAGAACCTACATAAATGAAGCAAGAATGGTTTTATAGCTGTATCAAAGCTATATCTGACTCAAACAAGTGATGGGAATTATTCCATTGACTCCAAGAGGACCTGGATTAGAGTTAAAAAAAAAATATCTAAGAAAATGCACTATTTTTGCACAAAAGTGCAGTGCAGAGAAAGACAGCAGAGCTTTGCATTATGGCAACTGTACTGCTTTGGGCACTTGAACCATCTTGGACACCTTCACAGTAGGACACACAGTCCACTGTAATCAGGTGGTGATGGTGCAACAATTGTGGTGCTCTGCCTGCCACTAAGTATAGCAGCACAGAGCCTGCCCCAAGAGGGATGTAACGGTTTTGAACAACAAATAGAACTACTTTAACCACTACCTAATTATACACGTTAAAGAAAATTATCAGAAGCAAAATCTTCTGCATTTTCACCAAAAAAATCAACATCCTTCTCTAAGGAACTATGTTTTATGATGCTTCCTTCATGAGTGTTTCAGGAAATCCATATTGAAAGGACTGTGATCAAACCACGGAAACAGCATATAGAAATGGAGTTCACAAGTACCTTGGGAAGGAAACAGCATAATAATAATGGCAGTTACTATTTCCTGTATTAGAAAAATAAACATAGCTCTGAAATACAGCTTCAGTTTCAATGGAGATTATGATAAAAATTGTTAAAAATCAGCAGCTGTACTTTAATGCAATATTTCAATGTAACAATTCAGACAATATTCCCTCAAATTCTGATAGCAAATAATGCAATTATTTTCCTCTCCCATTCCTCCCTCTAGTCCACATCTTGATATGCACTACAAACTGAGATATCTTTTAAAAAAGATTTTAAAAAGCTAGAGAATGGGTATGAAATAAAACTGAGTGTTAAAAAGCCATTGTCAACCATTTTCTAAACATGAACCCATGGTAATGTGATCACTGCTGTTGGCATGTGTAGAAATCAAACTACGATATTCTCTTAATTGTTTCAGGTTACATCAGAAGAAGGGAAGAAGTCCCATCACCTAGAAAGTGTAGTGATAAAACAAGGCTGTAAAGACACAGACTGAGTTCAGACAAAAGCAAGCACACTTCAGTTGGCTGTATGAAGCATCCCTGACTTTGCTGGCTCAGAGCAGACAAACGCGTAACTTTACAGCACTCTTCTGGGTGCTCACATGGACTCACACGGGCTGTGTTGCAAGCTACACCAGCATGTGGCTTACGGGAGGATCCTCACATGTTTAGAAAGCTATCTTCCTAGCTTCATTATTTCTCTTTTACTGTAAAGATCAGGGTAAGATCGTACACACTAGCAGAGCAAGTTCACAGTCATTCACTCTGCCTAGCTCATCTGTCTCTACAACCTAAAATCACCCGGTGATATTTTGCTTGCTCCCAGTACTCAGACCAAATATCCATGCCGACAAGGAGCTCCCTCACTGCAGAGTTAACTCTGGTTCCAGCTCAGGCACCATTCTGAGGCTGACTGCTACTCACTCACAAAATTCCTTCACCTGCATCTGGGCTGCTCTCAAGTTAAGCCAAGATCATCTGGACTGCACACAAAACCTGTCCTCTGCAGTTAAATCACCAGAGTGATGACAACGCACTCAGCTCACCCGCAGCTCCCCCCAAGTGCCTTGGACAACTAATGCGCTTCCCCTTGACCGAGAAAGAATCAAAGCAACACAGCTAAGGGCAGCTCCAGGAGCCAGGGATACATCCCAGGACATCACAACACATATGGAGAAGTGCAACACCACTGAGGAGACAAAAACTTGGATATGTTTCATTTAGAGGCAGAGCTGAAAGGGAAGAGGAAAAGCAGGTATTCTCAGAATTTCCTCATGGAGATTCATCAGGGAAAAAAAAAAATCACCCCCCCGCCAAAAACACCTAGAGATATAAAATTATAGGTCAGATTGCATATGAGTAAAGTCATGGTGCAACAAACAGAAACAAGAAAGGATACCAGACTACAGCAGAGGTCAGCAGAAGGCAACAGTGTTGTAATACCTGTTTGGACAGAGTTCTCCAAACCACATCAGGAGCACAGGCAGCAGCATTCTACTTTGCACGGAAATAAATGGATGCACTGAGATCTATGCCTTTTCACTCCCTTACCAGGGCTATTATTATTTCTAGGCTCATACAAACTCTTCAGGAAGTTTGGTATTATAGTATTAAAATGTAAAAAATGCAACTAAATAGTCATTAAATAACTAAGGCAAATAAATTGTGACAGAAATTAGAAAGGGGTATTGTTCATGAAAAGTAGCCCCTGAAATAAATTTGAATTCATTTGATATATGGTAATTTCAAGACAATGAAAACTTAAAGTCTTTACCAAAACAGCAGCCCATCATCTTTAATATTACAGCAATGGATACAGTAACGGATACTTTTACATCACGATACATAGAGTTGTTAGCACATTAATAATCATCTTTCATCAAGCATAAAACTTGCAGTTAGGAAATATAGCTGCAACAGCACAATTATACTACTGTCAGCATATACCCTGAAGCAAAGAAAACAAATGGGCTGCTTTTCATTAAGGGAGTTTGGCAAACATCTCTAAAGACAATGTTTTCTTTCCAGAAACAATCCCAAGAGTCTCTTTCCTGAGGTAAACCTGGTACATGAATATATTCATAGTACAAAATACAAATAGTAATTTTCCCGTATATAGCACCTTCTGATTTTTCAGTAAGACAATCTATGTCTAAGTCAAATATTTACAGTTTCTTTAAATTGTTTTAAAGTAAAATAATTTCAAAGTAAAGTTTTAAAGTAAAAACATACATACATGTATGCTTAATTTAATTCAGAAGGATTACTTGTATGAGCAAAATTAAGCTGCTAGTATCAGAACTGGAATCATTAAAGACAAAAATTACTTGCAAGCACCAAATTCAAAATTTTCTTTTAGGAAAGATCCCTTTTAAGGGGAAAATATTCTAAAAGGGGTAACTCCTGATTAAATGTAGAAATGGGCACATTAAAATATTTTATGTATGTTTTAAGCAATTATATATTCTGATTGTGTATTTTTAATGCATAAAGTCAACAGCAGACATGGCATCTTCACTGGGTACATTGTTAGACCAAAAGTGTCTCTGTCAGAAACTACACTTACCCTAGATCAGCTATAGCCATTTATTATACTTCATAAAAAAATAATACCACGTAATCTCAATGTAGAAATAGCTTGCAGCTCCTTCTTAATACACAGTTACTCAGGTATGAACATATGATACGACTGTCAGGGATCAGTTCCCTAACCATAAACATCTATTGTTATTCCACACCATGGTCTAGCAGAGGAGACACAGGACTTGTGGGAGTCCCACACCCTTCAGGAATGACAAGGAGAGGTGAGGTGACTTAACCTAGTAAGGCACCTGAAGTACCAGCAGACACCTGTTCTCTTAGGCAACAGAATCTCACCTGATGCAGCCACCAGATTTTGATTTAATCTCCTCAGCAATCATTTAATGTACACAAACAGAAACTACTAATTGGGGAAAAGAGATCATGGAGGAGATTTAACTTTGATGTAGAATAATCTCACACTCTAGAGACCGAAAGAAATAAAGAACTGATACTAAAAGGCAGTAACATAGCCTTATTCCCAAGCAGCTGTTTTCTGAAAGCACAGACTTCCATGAAACTCTGTAGTATAAAACTATCTCCTGATTGGCATCGTTTCTCAGCATACATACCACTGCAAAAACAGGAAATCAGGTCTTCTCAGCACAAGAGGCCAGCAATAAGAATGGTTAAGATTCTCATAACAAAGTTAGGCTGCATCCTAAACACACTACAATATTCACAACGACTTTTACTTTTTTGCTTCAAGGGAGTGTTTGTTACACATGTGTGGACTCAACATAGATTGTATTTCTTCATCATAGATTCCCAGACTAATTTCAAATTTAGACTATACTGAAATCTTTCACAGAAGGAAGTTCAAAATATAACAAGTATCCCCAAATCTCTCTCATTCTCCATCACAAGGGTACTTCACACTCCAGAACAGGTGCGTTTTCTGTATAAGTTTCTCTCCAAGGTGTTCAAATGTTACTATATATTTTTAAATATTGTGTCTTGTTCAAATAATCACATTTTTAGATAGAAAAGAGAATAAAGAATAAATACCCAGAAACAATATAGGCTACCTACACAAATTGGACTGAAATTGTTTTGTATCAAAGCAGAGAGAAAAAATTCCTCAGAAACCTTCTAACATCGGGAAGTTATGAGAACAACCCACCAGCATGGTACCCAGGCTCCTGAGCAGAACTCTGGCCGTGCTAAACCCAGGCTGTGAACTAGACATCGTTGCAATGGGAGGCAATGGTGGGGAAATAAAGGGGATTTTCTTTTCTGGTTTGGAGTTTAATTGGTGGCTCTGTAGGCAATTACAAGCAATATCAAGATAACTATGCCCAACCGTCTGCCACTGAAATGTGGACACAAACTCTGGCTAAACTCCACCTTCCACAATGTGGACTATGCAAGAAAGAAGCTTAGAGTTATGTTAACTTCATAGCAAATGAGGACTTCTGCAAGACAGGATTCTTCAGAGGCTAGGTAAGATGAAACAGTTTATGAGCCTCCTTTTATTTTTGTCCTTGGTCAGGGGAGATTGGGCCTGAAATTTGTTTGTTTGTTCTGTTGTGATGTTTCAAGCTGCAAGAGTAACAGTCTCCACAAGCTCTTTATGCACTTCAAAGTTCAGAAACTGTTCCCTCCCAACCCACATTCTATAAACCAACTTTAAATATAACATAGTAATGTACACACAAGTTTGGTAGTCTGGGGTGAATTAAACCTTATACCTTCAGGTGCTTCTTTTCCAGGAGCTCTAGGGTAGCCACAGGTTATATAGCATAATGCAGCCCAACTTCCACTTCTACGTGTCATATGCACAAGTGTTTCATGGATTGAGGCTATGACTTGTAATCGTTTTCAAACCGGGTTGTCTCTCCAAGCAAATAGTGGCTGCTCATTCCTCACTTTCTTCCCAGTGGTAACCCTTCCGTCAGACCCCTTCAGACAAATTTTATTTTTCTCCCACGCAAATAGGATTAGGCAATCACGTAGTTATTACGGTGCACAAAATAACTACAGGACAAAGAGGTCTATGGGGATAACTGGAAAGATAACCATTTTTTTCACTGTTTTCCCATTCCTCTACTGAACCTCGAATTGCAACAGGCAAAGCAACTTCATATGCTGGGGCAGGCATGACAAGGACAATACAGTGTTGAGCGATTATTTTTAGATACCTGAGAAAACTCTCAACTCAGACTTCAGTCAGATATTGCACATATTCCATATTCAAAGATTACAAAGGATCAGCAAATACCACTAGTCAAGCAAGGGGTTAAAAAGTCTGAGTACAGGTGTGGGAACCTTGAGCATCCATGTAAGCATATTCAGCCCAATAAGGTGTTCTTAAAGAGTGTGAGTTTTTAAAAACAGATGCAAAGGCAAAATAATATTAATTCACTTGCAGGATTTTGGAGAGCAACATAAATCCCCAATTCTGCTGGATTTAATGATTCATTAGGAATAATCAAACACAATCCCAGTTAGCACTTAAACACATACTTAAGTGCAGCTCTGAATAATGTCTTCCTTTGAAATACTCCTTAGTGACTACACTCTACGTGCAGTTTTTGATCCTACTAGGCAGAACTACCTTAAACAGAGAACCTGTATTTAAATGAAAAGACAGGACAGGGATAAAATTGTCAGACAATATACGGACAAAATATGAATGTGTGCTTTCTACATCCTTGTATGATCTCTTATTTGTTATCACTGGGCAAACACATGTATATATTCCTTACCTTTAACATAGTGAATTCATATGGCTGATAACCTTTGAAACTTTCATGGATGGCTGCCATTGTGTGCGAAGTTTTTTCCCAAAAATGAAGAAGTGTTGTCTGTAAGGTAGGATAAAATTTCAATGCAATGGTAGCTTTAACATCAATCTGCTTTCAGTGCAAATTTCACATCTCTCCTCCAATACTAGTTACATATTTTTACAGTTGAATATTGCCATGGTAACTTCTTAAAAAAACATATGTTAACAGGAAGTCTTTCTTTTGGAAGTCAATGTTTTCTTTGGATACCTGATATGTTGTTAACACATGAGAAAGGAGGTTGCATCTGCTTGCTCCCAAAAGATCCACTTTTTGACAGACATCAGTCTTCAGTTTGTCAAAGTTGAGTTTTGCATGTCGCACTTGAGCTTGAACCTTCAAACAAGGGGACAATTGTTTATGTAGTGAATTTTTTTCTCTGCTTTTCATGAAAGAGCAAACCAATATAACTTTTAGGGAAATCAGACAACTGAATAAACTCAATTAAAATTTACATAGAACTTTATTATAGCATCAATCCCACTGAAATTAAGATATGTCAGGCTGATACATGCTAAAATACGGCTCTATCTTCTATGTTACTATTTTTCTAATATATTCAGTGAAGAAATTTTGTTTTCTGACCCCTGTTTATAAGATGGATATTAGTATTAAATATATACTAAGAAGATAATAATTGGAAAACACACTCATTTTGGTATCTCTTTACAGAAATACCAATTCAAAGCCTGATCAACAAATTTGGAATGAAGAGTTTACTACGTAATATACAGGCGCACAGGCAGAGATGTCTTCATGTACCTATAGTAGGAGACAAATCACACTGACAAACTTTAAAGTCAATCTGCAACTCTTGTTGAACAATATAGCACTTCAATAACTTTGAACTGCTACAAAAATTTTGCTCATTAAAGTTTTCCTTCTTAAAACGGAGTGCTTTTCCTGTTTATTGCTATAAGAAAATTACCAAGGCCCCCTTTCTCAGGAGCAAACAATTTCAGTTTCAAAGGGTTGTAGTTTTTCAAATTATTCTTCTACCACCTGTTAAGTACATACAAGACACCCTCTGTTACACAAGCCACACCTGTTTAGGAACAATACTGGTATTCTCATGATCAGGTATCAAGGCAGAAAGTTGATGTAGGCGTTTTATATCCAGGATCTCCCATTTTTATGACAGCTTTATACACTACCCTAATACTATATTAACAAAACAAATATGTTTATAACAAAATTTGCATACAAAATTTAGTATTCTTCCAAGGCAATGGGAAACAATCAAACCACAAAGCATGATGATTTTCCTATAACTCTTTCATAGTTACAACAAAATGTTTACCCAAAGAAATCTTCACAGTGGTAAAAACCCACTGAATGCAAAATAAATAAATTTCCTTTCCTTTACTCGCCTAACTCGGAGAGTAAACTGATTCTCAGTTCACTGAACTGAAGTTGAGAATATGCAGACTCAACCAAACAAGATCCAACAAACTTGTATGCTCCTGATCTTCAAAAGTGAATCCAGAACCTTGCAGCAAGTGCCTGTATTCCTTGTGTGGCAAGGACAAATACATACCTCATAACTCAATCCAAAATGTTAGGGTTACCATATTTCTTATCTTATTTTCCCAAACTTACTCAGAGTATATGAGACTTCCAACTGGGCAGAAAAACAGCAGAAGATCTGCATCACAAATTCATCAGATGACCTACTCACACAAATTGTGGGACTCTAGGGATGCAGAATACGTGGCAACATTTTTTTAAGGATCAGATCGGCTCTGCATACGTAATATAATAGGGTTGCACATATCATAAGGCCTGGTATATTCATAAGGAAGAAACTACCATAATTCAAAATTTCTGATAAATGCAGCATCTCACAGGTGAGAATTTAATTGTAGAGAAAGATGATGCCTAGAAAAAAATTTTTTTTTTTTTTAAATAAAGAAACAGCAGTGATACTCTACTTTTATAAAATAGCTTTGTCATTAGTGCATTCATCTAGAAGGGGAAGTCCTCCAGGGTAAGTCCACATATTACACCAAGCAATCAATGAACCATCCTTGAGTTCTGGTAATAACAACTACATCTCAAACTTCTGACCTGATCCAGTGCTCTAACCACAAAACTACAACATCTTACTGATGACTTGCTTTGTGGTTTTGCGTATCACAGAATCACAGAAACACAGAATGGTTGGGGTTGGAAGGGACCTTCTGGAGATCACCTAGTTCAACCCCCGTGCCAAAGCAGGTTCACCTACAGCAGGTTGCACAGGATCGTGTCCAGGCGGGTTTTGAATATCTCCAGAGAAGGAGACTCCACAACCTCTCCGGGCAGCCTGTTCCAGTGCTCTGCCACCCTCCAAGTACAGAAGTTCTTCCTCATGTTCAGATGGAACTTCCTGTGTTTCAGTCTGTGCCTGCTGCCCCTTAACCTGTCGCTGGGCACCACTGAAAAGGGTCTGGCCCCATCCTCTTGACACCTGTGCTTAAGGTATTTATAAGCATCAATAAGACAGTGAAGAGTTTCAAACCAAAGAGGGGTGTCCAGAGCTGGAAGAGTTCTTGGGTAGCTAGGAGAAGTTTTGGTGAGGTGGAGACAGATTTGAATTCCCTCAGGAAGGAAGAAATTGCTCCCATGGCTTCCCCTCCTTAGGCAAGCATGACAAATGCTAAGCTATGATATAAAAAGGAGCAGCTACTGCCAAGATATCTCCCTATAAAGCATGGCATTCTGTGAAAAGCCTTATCCAGTTGGAGGTACGCTGGCATGAGGTGAGGCTGCCTCTTAGTCTGGGATCCTCAAGGGACTCTACACTACTCCTTTTAGCTGGTGCCTTGTGGAAGCCTGAGCGAGGTCCCATGTTATCCATGCCAGGAGTCCCATCCCATGCACAACTGTCTAGTCCAAACAGCAGGTGGGTGAAGAGCTTATGGGCCTCCAAAATTAACCAGCAACAGGGCAGGATGGGAGCAGTAGCAGAAGGAGTGTGGAAGCTTTATCCAGTGCTGGATAAAACATCTTTATGCATTAGGTCCTCAAATCCTTTATTTGCTTTAGCTGTGAGTGACTGAGAACACAGATTCACAATCTCAGTCTAAAAAGGAGAATTGTGGAAAAAAATCAGGGGCTTGTGCAAAAAGGAACTTCTAACTGAAATCCAAACATGAGATTACCTATGTCTTTTGCCAGAAAGAATTGCTACAACAGGAAAGTATTTAAGTAAGAGATGCAGTAGGGCTTTGAAAAACACAGTGAGACTTGAGACTAAATTCTGGTCTCAGTTACAGCCATGAAAATCCAGAGAAATTCAACTGTCCATGGATACATGTCACATATAAAACTATATTTTACAATGGTGCAGCTGAGATCAGAATCCCTTTCCTATTCAGTATATCTTAGCACTGGTGAAAACACAGTAAGAACAGCTGTGGCTTTGTAGACTGATAGTCCAAGTGAGCAAAGAATGTTAGTTCTGGGGAATATAAATACTCTGTCAGAGATGGTGGGCTACAAGAAAAAAAAAGTACTACTACATGTAATTATTAATTTCTACAACTGCAAGTCTGCACAAGGACTTTATACAACAGACTGGGACTTGAGTCTACCTCATGTCTCCAACTCCGTAAAAGAAGAGAAAAAATCCAGAAAACAAAAAATCTGCAAAGTTCGAGTTGTAGTCTTCTTGCATGCAGTCTTCAGGGACATTTAGCAAGAAACAATCTCGGCATTTATCATAACTGAACATGTAATTAGTGTCTTTTTTAAACGCTAGAGCATTCATAAAAATAAAGAGGTGATCCACAACACAGTGTGGAATACAAACCCTTATGTTTGACATGCTCATACAGATGATTCAAAATACTTTAATGCTGTGTTACCACATGCCATGCATCTCTCTTGCCAACCAGGGAAGATGTGATACTGAGAACTATTAAATTAAGGATGCTTTTAGGTTTTTTGATATACTGAAAGCTTATTGAGCAGAAGTACTCTCCATTTTGCAACAGCTGTGCAGGACAACCAAGAAAGAACATCGCATACTACATCAGCATGACCTTTGGCCTTTTATGCGTGCCAATAAAAGCATTTTCAATTCAAATTATTATTAGGCATCTTTTAAGATTACTTGTGTATTCAGGAATTAGGTATAAAACCTTAGTGCCTACAAAGCATAATCTACTTAATACCACACAAGTTATCAGAATGAACCTTTGGTTTTCTACTCAAGGGAAAGCTGATGTAATACATACTAATCTTCTCCTTTCTCTGCAATTACTCTCTAAGACATGAGAAATAGGACCTCATTGTCATCTCAGTCCTGCAATTTTTTATTCGTACATTTAACTTCATTAAAGCTGAACATACAAAATTTCTTCAAAATTCTGGTCTGAAAAGTGCCAGGATTTTACTGAGTATAAAAGAACTGCACCAATCCAAATGTAACTTGGACATTTTACAATGAAATAGCTTCTAAGCATCTGAAACAGGAGGTGCCAGTTGTGAGGTTTATGCTGTACAAGAAAATCTTATGGTACTAGTGACATAAAAGATTATTACTCTTCATTATTTTCTTTCTCAACCTGGAGCAACCTGCTTTTAATGTCCCAATGCAAACAATATTTATGGAATAGAGTTCTTTAAAGAGAGCACATAAGAAAATATAAATTTGCAAAGCAACATCTTATTAAATCAATAGCTTGATAAACTATAAGATGCCAGATAAAACTGAAATAATTTCAAAAGACTAAAATAAATAACTAAGTAAGTAAATAAAGAAGTGTTAACATCCTAAATCCTAGGATCTTAAAAGTCAGATTCTGGAATGCTTGATTGTAAGGGCAAATATTTGCTAACATGGGTTCATAAATCTATATTCAAACAGAAAAGTCCCAATCTTCAAGAGTGCTAAAATTAAAAAAAAAAAAGTTCAGACTCAGTTATAAACCCTATTCAGTATGTTCAGTTACTAAAACACAGATTTATCAAGTATTTTCAAGGAATCTTTATCTGTGTTACTACTTTCTTTTAGTCTGCCATAAAATGCAAAATTTATTTTCAGTAGTAGCGCAATTTCAGGGACAATCCAGCTAGTGAAGCATCATTTCCAAAATGAACTTAAGTCACAGAAATGCACTAACTCGCTTTACATGCAGTATATTTTTGTCTCAGCATTTCCAGCATAGAAGCAGAAACAGATGCTTCCAGTCTAATTTGTCACCCAGCCTCTCACTTACTTGATCTGAAAAGCATGCACAGTGTGTGTACAGGCTGGAAAGAGGAGGGGTAAGTAAATCAAGACGGAAAAATGCCTGGAATATAACAAAACTTCCTGTTGGGGGCTCTGGGTAAACTCTACCAGCAGATGGAATTAGCACCAATCTCTACATTAAAGAAGTATAGCACCTTCTGGCATACCTGAT